ATCTCTCAAGATTCTACGGGTATCAGCTGGGACGCTACAGATTTCTCAAGGGTCCACGGGTATCAGCTGGGACGCTACAGACTTCTCAAGATTCCACGGGTATCAGGGACGCTTCAGATTTCTCAAGATTCCACGGGTATCAGGAACGCTACAGATTTCTCAAGATTTCACGGGTATCAGGGACGCTACAGATTGCTCAAGATTCCACGGGTATCAGGGACGCTTCAGATTTCTCAAGATTCCACGGGTATCTGGGACGCTACAGATTTCTCGAGCTTCCACGGGTATCTGGGACGCTACAGATTTCTCGAGCTTCCACGGGTATCTGGGACGCTACAGATTTCGCAAGATTCCACGGGTATCTGGGACGCTACAGATTTCTCGAGCTTCCACGGGTATCTGGGACGCTACAGATTTCTCAAGGTTCCACGGGTATAAGCTGGGACGCTTCAGATTTCTCAAGATTCCACGGGTATCGGGGACGCTACAGATTTCGCAAGATTCCACGGGTAACAGGGACGCTACAGATTTCGCAAGATTCCACGGGTAACAGGGACGCTACAGATTTCGCAAGATTCCACGGGTAACAGGGACGCTACAGATTTCGCAAGATTCCACGGGTATCAGGGACGCTACAGATTTCTCAAGATTTTACGGGTATCAGGGACGCTACAGATTTTCTCAAGACTTCACGGGTATCAGGGACGTTAAGAATGCCACTGGTCTCGCGGACCTCGCTATCAAAATCGCACGGAGCTGCATTAAACGCATATGAACCGTATACAGTGTTAATTTATTTTGGGAAATTAGTTTTCCTTGATTCGCTTTAAGTCAAATATTGGTTAGATTCTGCTCAAAAGTAGAGAATTATATCTACCGCTTTTCTTGGTAATATTAATATAATATGATTATCAGTTGCAAGGATAACTGACCATGATGGCTTATTTGGCAAAACCATTTTTTACGGCAAAATTTAGCATTGTGTCTTATGTGAATTATGTAAAAGTATAATAATCTTTATGCTGGGATGAAACGTGTTATCTCAACAACTGAGCCACGGATAATAATACAAATATTACCAGAGGAAATATTGGATTTATAACTCTCTAACAGGATGTCAAGTTTTGTAACATTGGATGTCAAACGAAATCACGAAAATGTTTGAACAAAAAAGTAAATCAACAAAGAATCCAATGGGAAAATGACGTAACATGGAAAAAATTTATGGCACGTCACTGTAGATAAATACACGGTACTATCAGGGCACCCGGCACCATTAATATTGCTCCCGTAGCAAGCCTGGGACACAAGGAGAGATTAAAAACCGCCTCACTGACACTCGGCAGCATCAGCGATTACGTACAGATTGGACACGTCTTTGACAGTAATCTATCAAAACAGCCATTCACATAAAAGATTACTGCACACGCCACAGTTGGGAAAAAAATGTACCGCAAATCTCTCACTTTCGAAGCCATAGTTATTTCCTGGGGTTCTGTTAGGTAAAAACAGCAGATACTGAAGAAATAGGATGGACTAAGTGCGATTAAAAAAGTTAACTTGAATATATTTAAACACGCACAACCCACCACCCGCCGTTATATACTGTCACATATTGCGAACATTATGCGTCGTAATAAAGTACTTAGCACACACTACACATTGATGAGACAATCTTCATTTTTTGAGTAAACTCCCTCCAGTTCCACTTTACATATGGGTTTATATACACTTGACACGCACGAGAACTGCAATCTTGCACCTTATGGATCACCGTACCATACACTACGAACAAAAAAGTAACTAAGTGTTGGAAATTGGATCTCCGACTTTGGTAAATATAATTTATTAAAAGAAAAACATACCTTTCGCCAAGTGCTAATTTCGCCTTTCACATCTAACTTCTATATATAAATGATATTTTTGACGAATGTTCGATGTAATGGTAAATCTGTCAGAGGGCAGAAAAAGCAGAAAATTAAACTGCAGCGAAAATTTCCCGGTATACAGTAAGTATCATGTTAGATTAATAGAAACCCAAAACTTTCCGAATAAATGTTGCTTAAAAAATTCATAGCGAACCATATTTGTAAATCACAAATATTATGGACTAGATCTGTGAAAAAGACACGTGCCGTAAAATGAGGAAAACAAATAATTTCAGAGCTGTGTCAGGCGGTGCATGTTGTTTTGGAAATTACAATATTTAAGAACGCAACTTTGCCATGCTTTTGTTGGTAGCTATTTCCATGCAGTATATGATTTCACGAAACACGTCAGAGCAGGAAATAAAGTTTACATTGCAGGTTTATGCTGTGGAGTTGCCATTCCAAGCATTAAGATCGGGCCCAGATAAACCTAGGTAATCATATTGTTTATGCTACAGTACCCGTTTTTGTTCTGGCTTTGACGAATTTATATTAATTCGATAATAATAATTCGAGGTTCTTATATACAGCTGTATCACAACCTTGTTTGTAGGTCGTCTCAAAGCGAAACACAAATTATCATCCGTGGTTAAATTGGGCCTTTACAACCAGCCAATATATTTCTCAACACCTCGGGGAGCATACAGCCGATGTTGCTATTTCGGCGCTCACAGCTAGCATTCAACAATTCTAGCATTGCCCAAACAAGTAGTCATTTACAGCTGAGTAGACTGGAACAAGCGGAGTAAAGTATCTTGCAAGTTGGTGAAGACTTCAGGCAGGTTTTATGGTCGCCATCATAATGCCTAGGCCTTTAGGAAACATATTATTTCTTTGCCTTACATGAAGGTCATCCTCGATATCCAGGGATTACGCTCACTAACGCCGATCTCTGCACCTCTGGAATATATCGTGGCAAAATAAAACGCTAGGTGTGCACCACCTTGTTGATGAGACGAGAAGACAAGCTTGATCCTTTGGTGTACATCGAAAGAATCTCGCGGTTGTCACTCCTTTGTTATCTTCAAAGGACAGGTACATGTATCTGCCTGGCGATTGGTCTTTTATTTCTTTTTACCTTAGACGCATCAAATAGCTAGCCGCGTGCCTTCAATTTTGCTATAACATATTCCAGGGGTGTAGAGAGCGAAAGTGAGTGTAACCCCTGGATATCGAGGATGAAGTGAGCGTAACCCCTGGATATCGAGGATGCGGGTGCAGTGACGTAGCAACCAATACATATTTTTTTAAGGACACAGCTAAATACTGCAGTCTGCGAGATTCAAGTCTATGACCTCGAGATCAATTTCGATACATCTTTACTTGGATTTAATGGATATTAATGGGCAGACGTTGTCGATGAAGTAGAAGACTCTTGCCCCGCTGGAACACCTGGTCTTGTTCTCCTTGTACTTTTTTCAGCGATCACTATATGAATATTTCCTTCGTTCATATTTTGCGGTAGGTTTGCTGATTATGAATTCGAATTGCGTTTCTGGTAATACTTTGGTATTATCTTGTTGCTTTAGTCTGTTGACTATGTTAACATCAAGTCTACAAAAAGTCAACAATAGACGTTAATTTGTGTCACATTCCAATCATATATGTACAAAGTCTCCTTCAGTCTCCTTCATCTACATCAAAAGTGTTTTGCTGATAGGTACCGATTGTGTCAGACCATGACGTTGCATCCTCGATATCCAGGAGTTAAGCTTACTTCATCCTAGATAATCTAGGGGTTACGCTCACTTCCGCTCTCTGCACCACTGGAATATGTCATAGCAAAATTGAAGGCACGAGGCTAGCTATTTGATTGGTGTCAGGTAAAAGAAACTGACCAATCACTAGGCTGATACTTGTCCTTTGAAGATTACAGAGGAGCGATGCCAGACTTCAAAGTCAATACGTTTCACCTTTACGCGACCGCATGATTCTTTTGATGTACATCAAAGTATCAAACTAGTCTTCTCGTTTCGTCAACAAGGCGGTTCACACTGCTTTACAAGGGAGATAATTCTAACAAACAAAGTAGTCCTTCATATCACATTTGAATTTTGCGTTTTCTTGATATAACTTCAAGGCATTGGAAGATATCAAATATATCAGGTAGATACATCTCCTTGTTTTTTTGCTCAATAAAATATTTAGCCGATTTTACTCTTGCAGCTGTATACTAAATTTGGGTTTATTTGGGCTTTTTAGCTGAGTGGGAAACACGAGCCTTTCATACACACGGTCGGGTTTAAATCTCGAAAGTTGATAACGTACAGACTTTTTAGAGAAAGTGTTTTTCTCTTGTGCTCACAAGTCAAATAACGCAGGTAAAGTATACAAAGGTTTGGGGTGTGTACTGCAGTGTCTAATATAAGTTGTAACAGAGGTGGCCCAACAAAAAAAAAAAAAAAAAGATGTTGGAAGCACAAAATGACCAAATAACAGAATGATGTACAAATATATATCTGACAGACATGGAGACATCACCATATGCTGAGGTTTTAGCCATGTGGCTTAGGGTCAGCAGAGGCCAGCACATGGTACTGTGATGATGAGCTAATTCTAGTTAGATAGAACAATTAATACAATTGTATAATTTGCAAGACCCTTGTATTTAAACTGATCTAGAAATACTACTAATAATATACAACATTTGATGAAGTGCCCTTTCTAGCTAACATAAGCCACTCTAAAGCACTTTATAGTACATAGATATACAATTAATACAATTAGTATATACATTAATCAATACAATTTTGAGGAATTCCCAGGCGCTAACTACTAGTCCTATGCCACTTGGCTAATATCTCCCTATGTGTGTACGCCTGTGAGATGTAATGCCTTCTGTTTGTAGTGGGACTGTGCTTCCAACAGCATCATTCATAGTGCCACCTCACGTATATGCTACAGCAAAGATACTGCAATATCCACCCCAGACCATTTTATACTCCACCTGGGTTGTTGGGAGTTGTGTGGGCAGGAGAAAAACACTTTCTCTGAATATCCATGCAAAAACGACTTCGGGGATCCGACCCCGGCCGTCTGCGAGTAAAAACACTGCAATTAACAAACACGCTGTTTTCATCAGACACTATTTTCCATTTATTTATCTGTCATTCAATTTCCAGCCCTGAAATATAAGTGTTTGACCCGTCTCTAATGATAATACAAACAATCTATTTTCCCTGTTACATGAAACAGAGCTATACCATTCCTGTAATACTAATGTGTGTTTACTTCAGTACTTATATAGTTTTTCTTATAAAACACTCTTCATTAGACAGACAATACCATTTAAGTGTTGTCATCATTATCATGACTCCAGAACAAAATTTATACAAATTCTCATACTTGCTTTATATCAACAAAGTTTCTAAATATTATACAATACCACACAGTCTCCAATAGTAAAACAGAAAACTTGCTTTATGGTTTCAAGTGATGGTTCTTATCTAGAATTTGTCTTTTAAGGATGCCTGTCCCACTGTAGACGAAACACTATAGAGAGTTCTATTTTTTCCATACAGAGTAACCTCCCTGTCTTTTTGTTTTTTGGATATACTGTATTTATCTTACAATAAGACAATATCTGGTATTAAGCCCACCCATACCTAATGCATTTCAGTAGAAATTTCAACAATTGCTGTTATTATTTATTTGTAATAAGCCCATTTCCTTCTTTGAGTAAGAAATTATGTGTTGTCCCTAGGGGTGTCACAATGCACCAAGAGTGTATCATGATATATTGCAATACAGAATGAATATATTGCGATACGTATCCCGATATATTGTCATAGGAAAGATGTGCTCAATTTCATAATTAATTGTTGTCAGAATGTTATCAAACTTAATCATGTGTAATATGGATTACACAGATTTAAGATTTTTGTCGAACCAACCATCGATTACAAAATTTGAACTATTGAAAGCCTGCTTTATGCTTCATACATAAAAATAAGCTTCTGAAAAATATTGCAATACAGCAATATTTCATCTCTGTATTGTGGTACGATACAATATACCCGTGTATTGTGATTATACATACCTGTTTTCCGATATATTGTGACAGCCCTAGTTGTCCCCCTAAGTTTTATTGCAAGATAAATACAGTATCTGATGTGTAACTTGGCCAGAGTACGAACATTGCATTTTTTCATTCAGAACACTGTTAATATCTCTTTTCACAATTCAGCTACAAAACGTATGTCTCGTAGGTGTCACCCTCTGAAACCTCCAATAAGGGAGATCTCTCTCACTCCACATTCATAATGCGGGAGAAAGTGTGTGAAATATGACCGAGATTGCTATGCTTAATTTATCTATCTTGTTTTTATGCATCAAAATAGCTTAATTTGATTCAGTTACACCTGTTACGATCATTACACACACCCTGCATTAATTAGGAGATCATTTGACTACAGGATGTATATTTTGAGTTTGTGGGAGTTTGGACTTGAACAAGGAAGTTTTGAGGGAGATTGGTAAATTTTGGTCAAGATGAGGGAGTTTCCCTCCTAATGAGGGAGGGTTGACAGCTATGAATTGCCTTTTTCTTTTCAAAAGTTAAAGCTACAGTCATGTTGGTTTTATGCATCAAAATAGCTTAATTTGATTCAGATACACCTGTTATGATCATTACACACACCCTGCATTAATTAGGAGATCATTTGACTACAGGATGCATATTTTGAGTTTGTGGGAGTTTGGACTTGAACAAGGAAATTTTGAGGGAGATTGGTAAATTTTGGTCAAAATGAGGGAGCCTCCTTCCTAATGAGGGAGGGTTGACAGCTATGAATAATCAGAATTGTCTTTTTTTTAAATAGTTTCCAATACATTGTTACAATTGCCTGTAGTGGTACAGGGAACCTTTAAGACAAACAACAAGTTTCCAAAATGATGGCAGCAAAGGGCAGATAATCCTTTCATTCCGGTTTTGATCCCTTGTATTGTCTTTTGTGCTTGATACTGTGAACGATGGTAGGCCGTGTAGGAAAGGCTGTTTTACCGCTGAATAATTTTTCTTTCTCGTCGTGAAATCGGATATAGTCTAAGTTCATGTGTAAGTTTTTGGGGAGGTCAAGTTTAGAAATGTCCTCTAGAGCACTTGTTTCCCGGACTTCGGTGCTGAAGTGACCGACCACGTTGTCGACTTTATCCAGCTTCGTCAGGACCATGTTAGGTATGTTGTGATCAAACTCCTTGATTGTCCGAGTCAGGAACTGTAAAAAAAAAAAAAAAAAAAAAAAAAAATAAAGTTTTATGAATGCTTTATAAAAGTAGAAGTCACAGGATCATCAAAAAGTGCAAATGTATCATATTATAAACGATATAATAAAGGTAATAGTTTCAGAAAATAGTTTTCCTCTCTTCAGAATCCAAAGGTCCTCCTCTTATAAATATGCATACTGTATACAAGGAATTTTTTGTCAGTGTTTACCTTTTGCCATTTCCGTCCTCCGTAATGATAGCAAACTTACTACTAGAGGGAACATAAGTAATTAACAGCATAATAACAATACAGTTATCAAATGTGAACAATTAACAATTAAGAACTGACGAGTACAGATTTTACCAGGGAAGGTACATTTGACTGGTCGTAAGCAGGGATCAATCTAGGTTTTAGGGGAAATTACCCTTTTTCAGATTTGGGGGAAATTGAAATGTTGATACAAGGCTCCAGCGTCATAAAAGTAAAGGATAAATGTTTTGTCTAACATGTACACGTGTGCAGTATATTTCAATTTATAAACAATTTTAAGCTAGAAATGGTAGCACTTTTGTTTAAATTATGTGCAGAAAATGTATATATGCAGTATTATGCATTTTAACAGTTGAAGTTTAAAGAAAACATATATATGGGGAATATTTTTGAAGAAAAAACAGCTATTTTCTTGTTGAAATGGAGGGATTTTGAAGCACACATGGGGAATTTCCAAAAACAGGTGAATTTACTTCTGTAGGGAAACTACCCATAAACGGTAGTGAATCAAGTCTAGATTGATCCCTGGTAAGTTTCGCAGTGTACAATATTATTTGGCTGATTTGTAGAGAGTTCTGAATTGAAGGAAGTCTGCTTCAACCTCATTACCGAATGTAGACAAAGATCTAAGGATTAGGCCGAGTCCAGCTTACCCAGAGTCCACTATACCAGCATAACAACAACACTGATTTTGCTTAGGACAACAAGTGAGTTATTTAATTTGTGTAACAGAACTGGACTGGGTGAATCGTCAGTGATCAGGTAGCTCACTTGGTAGAGAGTATGTCTAGAGTTTGGAGAGTCCCGGGTTTCGAACCCCGGTCTGGCCGTGCATTTGTCTTCTCCATTACAAAATTGGCAAGCTTAATATATTATTACCAAATCTTGTTTCAAGCACTGGGTGAATGATTGGCAAGAGGACACCTGAACTTGGGTTGTGTAAATAGCATTGTCTTTGGGGGTGAAGACTTAGAAAAAGGAGGGAGGAATGAACTGGTGGGCGACCAAGAAGCTTTAATGGAAAGAGTTACAGATCTTTTTACTGGTCTATTTATCATTTGTTGTGTTAAGTAGTGCATATGTGAGCTGGAATTCAGGTCGATTCAGATGATAATAAAGAAAGACACGTTAGTCACATTTTTTTTTTATTGAACATCTTCTTTGTAATACCATATCACTTGGACACTTGGACATTTAAATACGATAATTTCCAGGTTTTGACACCTGAAATGGTCAGAACAAAATGTTTTCTCTTAAAGCCATGTTCCGGTTGATATCACATTTTCATCTGACAAATCAGAAGTGATAATAAGCGAAATCTACTGTACTTGGAAGGAGAGGAGGGGTTAATAATTTTCCAAAACCAAATTTGACTACACATCACACCTGATACTTGTTTTGGCGGTCGGTCAACTGTGTTTCCTTCCAGTCTTCTTTCTCTCCAAATATGTCTTCGGCGATCCTCTGTATCCTTTCCTCTACATCGTGTGGTGGAGAGTAGCCTCTCTTTGTGCTTACACCACTGCAAACCAAACAGGTTCATTGTCAACATACATTTTCATCATTACCTTACTTCAGGCTGAACAAAATTAACTTTGTATTTCCTGTTCATGTTCCAATAAAAGTTGGTAGGGAAAACATTTATAGGTAAGTAATACATTCTCTCAAATCTGATTTTTCCACATGTATATATACAGTATACTGTGAAATTCGCCCATGAAATAAATTTTGGCCCAGTGATAATTTGGCTTTTCATATCTCATAACTATGTAATATTTATTATGTATTCGCAGTAATGATAAATATTTCTCACATACTTCACAGGGTGATCCCGTTGTTGCTAGGGAAAAGATAACTCTATCTTACACGCGGTAGGGAAAGACAGCTGACACGCTCTATGACGTCATAATAATGGATTGTCGATGTGACGTCATTGTATTGTTTCTGTGATGTCATACAATTGTTGTAAATGGGGAATCATCCGTCCCAACCCTAGGGCTTTGGGGTTTGCCAGAAGAATAAGATGGATGTTTATTTTCGACTGGAATTTGTTTATTTGTATATATGTGAGAAAAATAATCAAACATGGGTCTGTTCCATAGACAGGGATATCTCAACCCTCGTGTAAGAGTTTGGCTGGTCAGCACTCGGCAAGCTTCGTGCTGACCGGCCAAACTCATACACTCGGGTTGAGATATCCCTGTCCACGGAACAGACCCATGCAAGATTCTATAAGTCCTCATCACAGAGGGTGAAAAAGGCGAAAAATTAAACAGCAGTGAAACATTTCCTGGTATACAGTACCACATTATGTTATGGTCCTTATGATAAAACTATTTTAACATGCACTTTTAACAAATACATTTGAAACAAGTTGCTTCTTTAAACATCTATGCTAGACCTTGTCTTTAACATTTTTACCGAAGGAAAAAATAAGTACAAACAATGGGGCAATATTTATGAAAGCATGCATCACTTTTACAATTTTGTTTTTGCATAAATGATAATCAGCCGTTATATTGCAAATTTTATTGAAGAAAATCATACAATGCAATAAAAGTTACCACCAAACATTGAAAGAAAAGGATGCTTTAAAATCAGATGTTATAGAGAGGGGAGAACTAATGAACAATAAATAGTTTGTTTTGTGTATTTACTATTTTGGCAAAAGGTTTGAGTTGGTTTGGTTTATTTGTGTTTTACTTCCTATTAACAGTTATGGTCATTTTAAGGACATGCCAGGATTTGATGATTGAGGAAAGCCGGAGAAAAACCACCGACCAACGGCCAGTACCTGGCGACTGCCCCACGTAGGTCTCGAACCAGTGACCCAGTGGTGTAGGGCTAGTGGAAGTAGAATGTCGACAGATGCCTTAATTACTTGTAATAATTAATCACTTGGCAACCGCGGCCCCCTTGGCAAATGGAAAACTATATGTTGTGCAACTGGAATATTTTATGTTTTTTAATTTGTTTTGTATTACCGGTACATGTATTTGTGATATGCTTCATTTTATCAGGGATGTAAAAGTATTTTATTATACCCCCGCAACAAAGTTAGTGGGGGGTATACTGTAATCACCCTGTCTGTCGTCCGCAGTAAACTCCTTCTTAACTGAAAGGTGGATTTCATTGAAACTTTGCATGAATGATCAGTATCTTATGTAGTTGCACAATGGCATTTTAATTTGGGATTTAGACCCTTTTTGATGGAGTTATGCCCCTTTGTGCGAAATACTTGTCTGCTGAACTCCTCCTTAACTAAAAGGTGGATTGCATTGAACTTTGCATGAATGATCAGTATCTTATGTAGATGTGCACTGGCATTTTAATTTGGGATTTCAACCTTTTTTGGTAGAGTTATGCCCCTTTGTGCGAAATATGTGTTTGAAAATTTTCTGTTAAAAAAATACCTTCTCTTTCTGAGGCACTGCATTGCATCTAAACTTCTTATGTGACTACTTGCTGGAAAATCGTACAGGTCATCAACATCTTCTTCCACTGGTTTAGGTTTTGGAGAGCCCTTCCAAAACTTCTTTAGAATAGTGGCATTACGACACGGAACTGCAGGGAACTAAAAATGTAAACATTATCAAATTTACTTCCATGCAATTTAACACCTCCGAAAGATGTGAATCTTGCAGGAGGAAAGAAGTTCCCAATTCAGGGAGGTTTAAATAACAACAAGTTAATTAATGATTAATTAATTTAATGAGACTCAAAAAAGCATACTATCTAAATACATTATATATCATAGTGCACAAAATATAGCACTGTAACACATGTTAAATTATAAATTATTTTTCATGATATATTGATCCTTTAATTTCTAATGGAAAATAATTTCTAATGCAATTCAAGTGATCATCTCCCCCCCCCCCCCCCCCCCCTTCACAAAAAAAGAGTTGAAATCAAGAGTACCATTGGCAGAAACAGTCATCCCAGTAAAGTTATGAATGATATTCACAGTGTTAATTATAAGTAGATCTTCGTTCAAATGAATAAAACCCCAATGGGGCAAGTGTTGAGGTCCTCCAATGTTGGGCAGCGTGTAAAACGAATGAATTTTCACAAAAGTTTTGACCTTAATCATGCAGCAACTTTCAGAAGAGATATCATCTGAATGCAAAATCCACCTGAAAGTTTCAGAGGAAATGGTCTTATTTTAAAGGTTTGCACTGTATGGACCTTTCCCGATATGTCCCCAAAATGCAGTAGGGTTCGGCCTCTTATTGTAATTGGGCATACTAGTACTATATACACGTATATCTGTCTGGTAACGGGTTATTTCATCCTAAATCCTGTTAACGCTAAGGGTTGTTTCACTGTAAATCCTATTCGCCCTAGGTTGTTTCTCCCTAATTTTTTTTTAAAAATTTATACACTAATATAATAATTAATATTTAAACATATCAACTAAACTTATTGATAACTTTCTATATTGTTTGATGTATTTCATGGAGACAAATACGCAACTGTGCGAGTGCGAGGTCGGCTTTTCACAGCTGCCGTTTGTCACACTCGCTTAAAAACAACACAAACACATTTCTTTTCATAAAATTTATTTTAATTTAATGGAAGACTAAGAAGACTTAATTTGTGACTTAAAACTACTAAAATTGAAAGAAAATTCCAAACAATGTTTTGTCCTTACATTTTTTTTAGGGCGAAACAATCTAGTGCTAACAAATTAAACCTAGAGCGAACGGGATTTCGGGCGAAACATTACCCAGAGTCCATCTGTTTAGTAATATTCATCATCTAATTGGACTATGGAAAGTTGGCGAAAATTTAAGTGTATGTTGTTGGGGCTTAAACCGTCTGGGCTCAACAGCACAAATGCAGTGATCCATCTACAATTTATATTTATGAGTCCTTTTCAACTGTAATGCTAAAAGCAATCATTCCCACAATGTTAAATTTAACCATTTCCAGAAATTCTGTGATTCCCATCAAAATTCTATGAGTACAGGACTCAGGACTCGCATGTAGATTTATCACTGCAAATGGGTAATAATCCTGCATTTTGGTAACATTTACCCATTTTGATAACAATTTTATTACTCAAATGGGGAATATTTATATCAAGTGAATATAAACCACACATCTAGAGTTCTTTTAAACACTAATGGGGCAAAAAGGGCATCATTCTTTCAATGAAGTACATTTATGCACAAAGACAAACAATGTCTAGCATTTTGTTAAAAGGACAAACCACTCAGTGTGTAGGAAATTGAATGGGACGCAAGTGCAAATGCGACAGGTAAGCATGATTTTTTTTCTGTGTGCTATTTATAGCTATTCTACAATACATTATAAGCAATGGAGGAGATATAATTTGTCATTTTCACAAAATAGACAGCATTTTCTGTATGAATGTCAGCTGATCAGGTTACACCTACTTACCTGTATTTCACAGTATCCGTACGGACATTGCCAACAAAAACAAGTATCCCGAGGTTCGAAAACCTGATCACGTTAGCTCAAGTTCACAACATGACCGTCATGGTGATTATTTTATGAGCAATTGAGTGTCTTTTGTATGTTCTCAAAATAAAGTTTGCTTTTTTTTGTATGAAATAAACGTACCTGTGATCGACTTCCTAGTTGTAAACATCTCAAACCCGTGCATATTCGACTGCACGATACTGTTCGCAAGGACGCTGCCATTTTCTTTTCAAAATCTGCCTCCTTCAAATGTTTGTTCTTCTCGGCGATGATGTTCAAAGCTTCTGAACGACGATGATATGTGCTTGTTTTCATTGGTGAAGTCAGTTTGATTGGAACAGGTGCTGTCAGGTACTAGAACAGAAATATAGTGTATAATATACACACATATATTCATCATTTCTAAGCGCCTAATATGACTAATAACATGTTTCCAAAGGGAGTTTATGTATATCACAGGACAAAAATATGTACCAATATGATAACAGATTTTGCTCTAATCTGTTGATGTGAGCGGAAAATGCAGGGCCAGACCGGACTCTAGACGGACGCTCAACCTTTTGAGCTACCTGGTCGCCGGTGATCGACCCGGTTCAGTTCCGCTACATTCCTCCCTCCTTTTTCTAATCTTCACCCCTGAGGACACAACTATATTTACAATCAGGTTCGGGTGTCTCCTTGCCAAGCATACACCAAATGCTTGAAACAAGGGTTTGTCACAGGCACCACTCACAGTAACAGGAGCGGAAAAATGCACGGTCAGACTGGGGTTTGAACCAGGGACTCTCCGAACTCTAGATGGACGCTCTACCAATGGAGCTATACCAGTGGTCGCCGACGATCGACGCAGAGTCCAGTTCCGCTACAAATGCACATTGTATCAAATCGACTGCATCATTTCTACTGTAAATACCAATGCAACACCACCGTGTAATTTTTCCCGACCTAGTAATAGTTCATTTGAAACTTAAAATTTGAATTTAAGAATTTGACATTTTGTTAAATTGAAAATTGTAATAATATGCACTAATGTGAGATTAGAGAATGCAGATATCAAATAATTACAGTCAACTTGTTGATTTCCAAGATGGTCAGGAGCTACAGTGTATGTCGTGTTGAGGTTAACAACAAAGGTGTACTTTGAGAGCTGACTTAAATCAAATATCAACATAGTTTATAGCTACTGAAATCTATCATACATGAAGCAGAACTTGACTGGGTCAATCGTTAGCGAGTCGTGACCAGGTATCTCAATTATTTAGAGCGTCTATATATCTAGAGTTCAGAGGTTCCAGGTTCGAATCCCAGTCTGGCCATGCATTTCTCCTCCGCTGTTACATTGGTTCCTGTGACCAACCCATATGTTTTAAGTAATGTGTGTACACTAACTGGCAAACGGGTTCCTAATTTTGGGTGTAAGTGGTGTAGTTTATGGAGACAAAGCATAGAAAAAGAAGGGAGGAATGTAGCAGCATTGGACTGGGTCAATCATTTGTGACCAGGTATAGCTTAATTGGTATGAGCCTTCATCTAGAGTTTGGAGGTCCAGGGTTTGAATCCTGGTCTTTGGCCATACATGTTTCCTCTGCTGCTGTTACATGGGTGAAAAAGCTTTTAAAATCAAGTTCTTCATCCATGTGTAACAGGAAAGAAGGTAATGTGCGTCCACCTGGGATCAAAGCCGATATCCCTAGGTTCTAGATGGACACTCTACCACTGAGCTGAAGGGAAATTCCCTCTAGTGCGAAGCTAGAAGGCAACCGTAATTCTATGTACAATTAAAATCTGCCACAGACGAAACTGCAGATGATATATTACAAGCCATTAATTAAAGAAATCTATACAGGACACCAAAACTTAAATTTCTGTATCAATGACAATCCATGTATGTGTTTATGGCAAGTCATTGACACTTGTAGGGGATACATGATTATAAGCAGTGTACTTTTAAATGAACGAAAGACAATCTGAGTGTGAAGAATCTGCAAATTTAATGTCATATAATATTGTAATGTTTATACTTCCACATGATTGTAATATTGTTATCTTCATTGGTTAACAGAAGTGCTGTGATGGGGATGGACTTGACCTTGCTGCTTGACCCTTGACCTTTTGGAAATAACTGTCAGGATGTCTGTCATCACATTGCAGCTTGGCCAGTGTGGGAATCAGATTGGAGGTCAGCTCTTCCAGACCTTCATGGATGATATCCTCACCAAACCCTCACAAACACAGGTACAAGTACCAAAACAAAACCCAACCCAAAATGATGAGGTGTATTAAGGTACCACTGCACAGGTAATAATTGCAGAAAAGAGTTCCACTGTAGAGTTGTTCTTTATTTAAGGAATTCTCATGATCACTTGTGTATGTCACCCTGGTATAATACTAGCCGCTTCCTACCAACTTGGCTAGAGATAATCTTTCTTAAGCTTATTTGGTAGAGTGTAGGACTAGTAAACCAGAGGTCCCAGGTTCGACTCCTGGCCGAGGCATAGAGAAATTATAACCTCTGTTACACTGGGGCCTACATAGGGACCCAGGTAATATTGAAGTGATACTTTCACAAGAATTGCTTTGACCCCTGGAAATCTCGGGACGAGTTCTTTCCTGAAATCAAAATATGAGCCTCTTCTTACCGACTTGGCTGGAGATACTTTCTCTTTAGTTCATTTAGTAGAGCGTTAGACTGCAGTAAACTGGAGGTCCCGGGTTCAACTCCTAGTGAAGGCATTGAAAAATAATGACCTGAGCTGTTACATTTACATAAATAGACAATAAAGCAATATCATGATTTTTTTCTGGCTCAGAGTTTATGCTACTTCATTTGGCATGGTATTCCTCTTTCATTTTGACATCATGCATTTATAATTCCTGGATTGCATTATTGGTAAAGTTTTGGGATTGACAGTGGATAGTTTGTAGCCCTAAGTTCATTCAACCCACGTCATAAAATAAAAAGAGGATATTTAATGGTATCCCATGCCATTAAATGTCATATATTTTTCTCAAGAGTGGCAGAATATCTCAACAAAATTGTGTTTTTTTTTTGCTGCTAATATCTGGTAAGATTTCTAAATAAAAAAAAAATGTCATTAATTGTGTAGTTATGTAAATAGCATATAATGTATGTTGCGAAGGTGTTCCAAACAATCTTTTGTAATGCCATCACTTCATCTGAAATTGAAACTGAAAGTCTACACAGTGAATAGAAACTACTTTTCACATGTGAAAATGTAACATTTGATATATCTTCACTAGTTTTTATTAAATGGATAATTCCTGATATTTCACTAATGAAAATTAATAAGTCATTTTTTTTCTCTTTTGTTCTACTTTTCTGTATGTTTCCACTAATTTCAAACAACTATTAAATTCATATTGTAATGAAGCGTTTCACTTGGGACAAACATCCTTACTTACACTGGTGATACCTTCACTGACACAGGTCATTTCCTGTTTCTATGATGTCATTTCCTGTATGTGTGTTGTCATTTGGAAGCTACAGTTTTGTAAATTTGACCTCATATTCAATTTTGTATTTTTTAAAGGTACCTCCTGATAAAAATGAGACCTACAAAGACGAGGTCCTGTCTCGGTTTTTCTACAAGGATCAGATGAAAGAGGGTCTTCCTGAAGCAAGGGCAGTAATGGTTGACATGGAGCCGAAGGTAAACTTTCAACGGTAAATTGGAATGGACTGGTGCACAAGTTAGCGCTAAACAGTACAAGTATTACTACGCTTACTGGGACCTGCTGTGGCTCTGATACCATATAGCTATGGCACATTTTAAATGCATCAAGATGATGGCCCTGACATGGGGCCACGGTGGCCGAGTGGTTAAGGCGTCTGGCTGTCTACGATCACTAGCCCTCCACCACTCAGTCATGGGTTCGAGGCCTATGTGGGGCAGTCGTCAGGTACTGACAGCAGATCGGTGGTTATTCTCCGAACACTCTAGTTTTCCTCCACCACCAAAAACCTGGTATATGTAATAGCAGCAGAAAAATGTAAGGCCAGACTGGGGTTCAAACCCGGGACACTCCGTACTCTAGACGGACGCTCTACCAATTGAGCTACCTGGTCCACGACGATCGACCTAGTCCAGTTTCGCTACATATGTCCTTTAATGACCATAGCTGTTTATAGGAAGTTAAACACAAACAAATCATATCAAAGATAGCCCCGGATGTTTCGTGTATTGACAGTGACACATTGATTTCTCTGAATGTTTTAGGTGATAGCCCAGATATGTTGTGATGCCAAGAAGTCAGGCCAGTGGGTGTACCCAGCTAAACAACAGCTCTGTCAGCAGAAAGGTTCAGGAAACAACTGGGCACATGGTTACTGTATCCACGGTCAAGGTCAGGAGGTCAAGGTCATGGAGATGGTCCAAAGAGAGGCTGAGAAGTGTGACAACCTTTCAGGTTTCTTGTCGCTGATGAGTGTGGCTGGAGGTACAGGATCGGGGGTAGGGGCGTATATAACGGAGTGTATTAAGGATGAGTTTCCTCACGCCTTCCTCCTCAACCAGGTGGTGCTTCCGTACAGGTACACAGTGTAGAAAAAAACTTTAGATGAAAATGGCTTAATTGTGTCTCAAACTATGCTTTATTTTATTTTGATTAGTTCACCTCCACGAGGCATTAGATGATGATATTTGACCAGTAGCATGCTGGGATATAGTATAAAATTTCCTTTAGTCTGGAGTACTCTTAAGCCAAGGAGACACAATATATGAAAATGTATGCAAAATTTCTTTTATTGAGAACATTTACCCATGATTGCTTAAATATCCAGGTGAGAGATACTGGCCCTCTGGGCCTCTTGTTTCACATGCACAGATTCAGTCAAGTTTCCATCAATAGGACTGTGTGGATTTAAATTTATTAATGCATCAAACTTCTTGCAATGACTGGTAGCTGTGGATAGGCCGTATCCCAGGCCAACCCATATCCACCCGTCACGCGCCAAATCCACCCAGCATGCTCAATATCTTCCTGGCTTGTGTCGTATCCTTTAAAGATTCAGTTCAACACTTTTCAGAAAAATCACACCTCAAACTGGTAGTGTACACACAGCATATCCATCTGTGTTTGCTATTCAGTTTATTGTGTTTTATTTAAGGTAGAATGTGACTTTGTTAAGCTAGCACATGATATATAATTTTCTGTGTGTTGTATGTATTATTGCTAATAATTTTAATGTTATAGAGCAGTATAGGATAAAAAAGGTTATCATATATATCCATTTCCATATTCTGCTACGTATCAGCCTCCAACCCTTTGGGCTGATATGGAGTTGAATATGGAGATGGTCAAATGATATGATCAATGAGCAAGGAAGAACATTTTGTGTGTTATCTGTTGACAGTATGGGCGAGGTGATCGTACAGAACTATAATGCCGTTCTGACTCTGTCACACTTGTATCGTAATGCTGATGCCCTCATCGTCATGGAGAACGACCATATCCAGAAGATCTGTTCACAGCTGCTGGACCTCAAGAAGATTTCCTTCCGCGACATCAACAATGTGATAACACACAAGCTGGCTAGCGTACTACAGCCAGTCTGTGTGGACAAGTACCCCGGCTACTCCTGTCAGAACACTCTGGGTAAGTATGTCCTCATTAACTCATTCCCGCCTGAAGTTTCATAATGAACTGTTCCAACCTTTGAATTAGAAGGGTTCAAATGTGTCTTCAGGGGTGAATGAGTTAACACAGTGTGTCCACTCTGAAAGCTGTTTCTTCATTAACCCTTTCACCCCTATGTAACTTTAGTTAACTCTTCCATGCATTGATCTGGATGAGTCCATTTTGGTCTACAGTGGTGAAAGGGTTAAGAAGTCATTACTCAAAGTAAAATCAGAATTATAAGGTCCCTTTCGCATATCCGGTTCAATCAGTTGAAATGATTGAACCTGAAAGAAAAACGACAGGTGCAGATCTGAACAGAGGCTGACCTCAGAAATATTTGGCATGTGTAGATTGAGGGGTCCAGATGTGCCTGACCGAAACTAAAATGCTGAATATTGTTAGTTTGCATTATTTCTTTAAAAAACAAGGTCAAGTCACATGTAGTTTTTAAGATACATTATATAATTTAGTGGACTTGTCAAAGAAGGACATGTTTTTCTTGATATATTGTTATTTGTTTCTTTGAAACTGCATTTTTTAGTTCTACCTATAGAACGGTACAAATGTGTTTGTTTGTCATGGAATATTTCTGTGCAACCTGAACTGCTTCAACCACGATACGCAAATGTAACCTATGACATTCATAAACCTAAGAGAACCTTTTAAGACTGACCCTTTGTGACATGAGAGTTGATATTACTGGTCTTAACCTTTGTTACACGAAAGTTGGTACATGTATAATAAGTGATGAACTTTGACCTTTGTAGCATGGGAACTGGTGTTACTAGTTATGAGTCATATGATGACCTTTGCCTTTTGTAATATGAAAGTTGATATTACTAGTGTTGCCATTGGTTATGGGCCCACCATGAAATAGGGGGCATATAACGTTGTTCGTGTCTGTGTCCGTTCCGTCGTGTCCCATCATGTCGTGATTCAATGTCAAGGCCAGGGTCTATATATAGAAAGTCATCAAACAATTCAATGCTATCACTCTATCAACGTCATTTCTTAACAGATTTTTATCAAAGTTTTCAGGGAGTTACTGGCAAAATCAAAGTTATTGTAACTATCTACAGATCATTATCAAGCACTGAAACTAACTGGTTATAGATACATTATAAATGTTTATTTGTCAGTGATTTGGAAAACAATTGAAGAGGCTTAAAGCCAAATACTATTTTCAATGTTTACATTGGACTTTTGGATCGTTTGACATTGAATTAAATGAGTTACAAGAAAGTTGGTTTGAGCACAGAAGCCTTGCTTGTGCATGAGAATGGTTTCATGAATACGGGCCAATATATTACTGGTGTTGCCCTTGGTTACAGGAGAGCTGATATAATAAGTTATGACCTTTGCCCTTTGTAGATTAAGATCTGATAGTACTGGTCTTGCCCTAGTTATCACCTTTGCCCTTTGTAACTTAAGATCTAATATTACTGGTCTTGCCCTAGTTATGACCTTTGCCCTTTGTAGAATAAGATCTGATATTACTGGTCTTGCCCTAGTTACGACCTTTGCCCTTTGGTTACAGGAGAGCTAATGGAACACCTGGTCCCCCACAGTGATTACAAACTGTTGACGGTGAAGAACATCCCTCAGATGTCCGAGGCGGCCATGACTTTCTCCTCCTATCAGTGGCACGGCCTGCTCAAACACCTGCGACAGATGCTCATCGCTGATGCAGCCATGGAGGAGGGTCAGTAACAGTGTTGTTATATTGAAGCAAATGAGAATGATGAGATTGCATAGTTGCTATTTTTTGCTGGGGATTTCATTTCGCTTTATTAACACTCACCAAAGACAGTGCAAAATTAAATATACAGGGATCAAAAAAAATAAAAATATACAGGGATGAAAGAAAAGACTTTTTCAACCTTTTACTGCTGAACAATCATAATAAAACACAGATTTAATTTCATTTATTATGTTGTTTTGATAAAAACAGGTTTGAAATAAATCCCATCACCCAAATACAAATGTTCCCTCCTGAACGTGATATGTTTACCTTGCCATGTTGCACAAAATCTTATCATCACAAACTTATTCTGAACGGGACAACCGCGAAATGTTAGCACCATACTGTACACTGTCTCTCTCAGCTATGAAATTCAGGTCATCAGCAGTCAAAATGCATTTTGATGCCTGCTAATATTGAAGCTCATTGAAGTTGTGTGACTTTTCAAACACATCAAATTCATTAGAATGACATATTATTAAAAGTTGGTTTTTAATAGAATATGTGGTCTTTCTAAGATTAGTTTAAAATTTAAATATTCAAACATTTTGAATGTTCGGTTATGCAGTGCAAATACAGGTTTCCAATTTTTGACAGAATAAAGACTTGCATTGAGAATGATGGTATAAAGATGCTTTTAAAAATGTTAAATAATGCTGGTTAATTACAAAAAAAAAAGATGCCTTTCAAATATAATATCAGACAAACAATATCATATTTCAGGCATTAACTGGCAAGTCAAGTTAGGAGATGAAACGCCTCGGGGCAGTAGTCGCCACAACCGGTCCCTTGCAAACTTTCTGGTTTTGCGTGGTAAGGATGCAGGGTCGGTGGACACCTCGATGTTTGCTGACCCTACCCTGTATGCCCCCTGGGTACCATCAGGGGCCTGTCTCCTCACCGGTGCTCAGCCGCGTCTGTTCAGCAACTACGAGAAGAGTGCCTCTCTTGTGTCCAACAGCCGGACACCTGTACAGACTTTGGACCGCATCGTGGACAAAGCTTGGAGCATGTTCTCGTCACGTGCCTATGTACATCAGTATGTGAAACACGGACTGGCCGAGGAGGACTTCTTAGATAGTTTTGTGACTTTGGAACAAGTTATAGCCAGTTATAACAACTTATGATGAAGTTACAACTCATGGCCATTAACAAGACAATGTTTGAAGAGTAACTAGTCATAGCCAGTTACAACATCTTGGAACAGTCAGAAATAAGTAGTAGCCAGTTAAAATATTTTTGGACAGGGTAGCAAGTCAAAGCAAGATACATCAAGTTACAACAAACTACATGTATGACAGAGTTACAAGTCATTGCAAGCTACATAAAATAACAACAAACTACATGTATGACAGAATTACAGATCATTGCAAGTTACATCAAGTTACAAGAAACTACATATATGACAGGGATACAAGTCATTGCAAGTTACATCAAGTTACAACAAACTACATGTATGACAGAATTACAGATCATTGCAAGTTACATCATACTTCATGTATGACAGAATTACAGATCATTGCAGGTTACATCAAGTTACAAGAAACTACATGTATGACAGAGTTACAAGTCATTGCAAGTTACACCAAGTTACCAGAAACTACATATATGACAGGGATACAAGTCATTGCAAGTTACACCAAGTTACAACAAACAATGATAGAGTAATATAACAAGTTAAAGCAAGTAGAATAGGAAAAAATACGTCAGTTTAACGACTAATAGCCTGTGGGTGGTCAGGTGGCGCAGTGGATAGTGCATTTGCCTTTCACCAAGTCTGCGGGAGTTAAAATCCCTGATTTGACTTAAAATGGTATGGGATTACCAGCCCGAACACTTGGGATTTTTCTGGGTACTCTGATTTCCTCCCACATAAAGACATATAGACCCTCCCTGCGCTTACATCGGAGCCAGATTAATATAAGTTGAATGAAATTGTTTCATGATTGTTGTAAAATAATTTACAACAAGCTACATTGTATGGCAGTTATAATTCACTTCTATTACTCCATTTGATGAGGGGTTTGGGTGGGACGCTTCCATTGTGCCATTTGATTGGGGAGGGAGGGCTCTTCTATTCTTCCATTTACTGGGAGGAGGGAGGGGGGGCGGGGAGGTAGGCATATAGAGTTCCCATTATCCGTCCTGTCATGACTGTAGCGACTTCCTTTCTTAACAAAGTTTATACAAAGGTAAAGTATGAGAATACCTCGTACGAGTTTATATTTCAGAGTTCCAAAGTCAACACTAAAAATGCCGATGCTGTTTATATGTCATCAACAGAGCCAAGGGGGTATTAATGTCTTTAGATGTTTGCTTGTCCTGTCATGACTTTAGAGCAGTCTTTTCTTTGCAAATGTTCACAAAAGTTTTTAACAATTGTCAAGTATGGAAATTCTCAGGACAAGCTGATATTTCAGGGTATATCATCAACAGAGCAAAGGAATGCATTGACGGTTTTAAGGCGTGTTCTAGTTTATGGAGTTAATATATTTTTTCATTAAAAAGATAACTTTTACGACTCCGAAAATGTACAGTCTATTTTGACAAAACTTTGACCATAGGCTATATATAGGCCACAGCAAAATTATACACAAGCAAAATAGTTTTCCATTTGGCTTTCATCTTGTTATTCCTCTTCATTAAAATAATCACATTTCTTATGTAATAGTTCTATAAGATAATAGTATTGATTGAACAATCTATAATCACTGTGGACTTTATAAACATGCGTTTTCTAGTTATATGTATCAATTTGGAACGTTGCCCAACATTTACTTATCTCATTATGATGTTTACTTATGTATTGTATTGATAAATTATTAAATTTATATGTTATTATGTGTTTATGTTGATTAATTTATTTTGTTTGTTTACAAAAAATAAGCTTATGTCGAGATCCAATGCCCTCGAAAACATCTTCTCTTCCAAACGTATTTAACTTATTTCAACCAGTTTGGGCTTGAAGCCTCTTTTGTGTAAGAGTCAGTTGTACTCTGATGAAGAAGACTGATTTCTTCAAACGTTGAGGGACAGGCATCTTTGATACTCAAGGGGTTACGCTCACTTAAGCTCTACTTACCCCTGGAATATGTCATAGCCAAATAGAAGTCTCAGTGTGCACCACCTTGTGGATGAGACGGGAAGACGATTTCGATCATTTGATGTAAATTGACTGGCTTTGAAGTCGGAGGTCTGTTCTCTCTAATCTTTAAAGGACAGATATCATCCTGACTATTGGTAAATTATTTTATACCTGAAATTAATCAAACCGCTGTCTTTCTATGACATATTCCAGGGATGCAGAAAGCGAAATTGAGCGTAACCCATGGAATATCGAGGATTAGGGACAGGAAACTCTGTAATATGAAACATGAAGCCATATTATATAATTTAAGCCACTGATCTTGGCCCTTTTGTTTTTTTAGAAGTTGTTGAAAAGTGTTTTTTAGACAATTCACCACTGTGACATTTAATATTTTTGAAGTTTATTCATTTGCAAAAGTTTGGTAGCCCTTCCTCCCAGAATGCTACTTGCTAAACATCATCACCCTAGGACTTTTGTTTATGAAGAAGAAGATGTTTAAAAGTTTGTTTTTAGATAATTGACCCCTGTGACCTTGAATATAAATGAGGGTCATTCATTTGAACAAACTTCGTAGCCAATCAGCCCAGCATTCTATTGACGAAATATCAACATCTTGGCCCTTTTCGTTATTAAGAAGAAGCTGTTTAAAAGTTTTTTTTAGACAAATCACCCGTGTGACCTTTAATATGATAGAGAAAGTTATTAATTTGCAAATATTTGCTAGGCCTTCATCCTAGAGTGCTACTGGCTGAATATCATCACCCTAAGACCTTTGGTTATGAATAAGGAGTTGTTTTAAAGTCTTTTTAGACAATTGACCCCTGTGACCTTGAATATAAGTGAAGGTCAGGCATTTTAACAAACCTGGAAGGCCTTTATCTCAGCATACTAATGACCAAATAATGAAATCCTGGTCCTTTTGGTTATTCAGAAGAAGTTGTTTAAAAGTGTTTTTTTTTAAAACAATTTACCCCTGTGACCTTGAATATGAGTGAAGGTCAATAGTTTAAAACAAACTTGGTACCCCTTTATCCAAGCACGCTCCTGACCAAATAGCAACATCCTGGTCCTTTGGATATTCAAAAGAATTTTTTAGAGTTTTTATTACGACATCCTGTGGCCTTGAATATGAGTGAAGGTAAATTATTTTAACAAACGTTGTGGCCCTTCATTCTAAAATGCTAAATGGCAAGATATCAATATTTTGGGCCTTATGACTATTCAGAAGAAGTAGTTTAAAGATTTTTAACATATAAGACCCATGTGACTTCGAATATCGGTCAAGGTAATCGATTTGAACAGATCTGGTAGCCCTTTATGCCAGCATGTTTTTTGCTATATATCATCACCATAGGCCTTTTGATTATTCAGAAGAAGTTGTAAAAGTTTTTTTGTTTGTTAGAGAATTGACCTTGAATATCAGTGGAGGTCATCCATTTGAAGAAAACAAACTTTGTAGCCCTTCATCTCAGCATGCTACTGGCCAAATATCATCACTCTGGTCCTCTTGGTTAATCAGATTTTTTTTAAAGATATTTGGCCCGTGACCTTGAATATCCTGGGCCTTTTGATTATTGAGAAGATTTTTTTTTTTTCATTTTTTTTCTTTTTTTCTAGACAATTGACCCTTGTGACCTCAAATATACCCGTAGCCCTTTGTCCGAGCATGCTTTTGACCAAATATCAACATCCTAGCCCTTTTGGTTCTTCAGAAGTTATTTGAAGTTTTTGTTATAGACAATTGACTCCTGTGACCTTCATTATAAGTGAAGGTCATTCATTTGAAAAAAAATGGTAGCCCTTCATCCCAGAATGCTACTGGCCAAATATCATCATCCTTGGCATTTTGGTTATTCAGAAGAAGTTGTTTAAAAATTGTAACATTTGGACCCCTGTGACCTTGAATTCGAGTGAAGGTTATTTATTTCAACAAACTTAATAGCCATTCATCCCAGTTTGCTTCTGGCCAAATATCATCAACCTAGGCCTTTTAAGAATAAGTTGTTAAAAGAAAATTCTTGACGCCGGACGAAATCTTCGGGCCAGGTGAGCTAACAAGTTAGATGTCTTTATCATCCACCAATCACTTAAAATTCCCCTGACGTGTGAATAGCCCGTTGTTTTATAATTCCCTCTATAGTGAGGACAGACTATCACTTAGATTTCTTTTTGTTGATATTTTCATCGTTGGAGACTATAGTTTAATCAGCTCTGTCGATGCTGAATTTACACAATTCAGGATGCCCTAAAAACTGCAATAGAAACTCAAAAATTCAATCACTGCATAGTTCAGTCCAGTTAACAACCAAAATATTTATATCCCCCGTTGATAAGAGACAGGCACACCACTGACTGTGTTACCGTCATATTTCAATGTTGATTAAAAGAGAAAGGTATAAACAAAGGTTGGAATGCTATAATCCACTCTACATGTTGTTTGATATCGTAACGTTGACACATTTATTGGATTTTGAAATGAATATGTTTTCATTTTACTTATCAATAACGCTGTTGTCCAAATACGCTCCAAATTACGATTACCTGGTTATACAGAACACGATATGCCCTGTTTCGTTCACAAATACAACAATAACACATACGAATACATGCGATGCATTATATTGAGACGTTTGTAATCAGATTTATTGAGTTGATTTTCCCCATGAATAAATGATCTATGTCTATCCAACATACTGTCAAAATAGTGTAGAACATCAACGGCCCGAAGTTTAAACAACGATGTATTAAACTATTAACCGTTCAATAAACTTCAGCAAAGACATTCATCGTTTCATGCATATTAATTTGTTTAATATTTTGTCTATAATAAAAGCAGTTTCAAGCTAGGAGATCGGGGCATTTTGTTTTGTCTAAATGGTGTTTGCTGATTGTTTCAGAACGACCCGGTGAGTTTTTAATATTTTATTAATTATTATAATTATTATGTGGGTAGAGTCCTAATTACTAGGTTTAAGACAACCAATATTAGCCACAATATGACTTGATCATTTCGCAAAGCGTGTTAAGTAACGGTGTGATCTGCGTATCAATACAATGTAAATTACATTCATTCGAGGGCGACCTTGCATAGGCTTCACCCAAGGATATACATGTTACCTCTGTCATCTGTTAACATAAACACAATCTAGAAAATACAAGTTAATATCTTCAGTATAGCAATATCCTTGACATTAACTTGTTGGCCCTCGGAACTGAAATACAAATGTTACGTGAATGAATTATAGCCATAGTCGCTATCGATCTTACGAAATTTAAAGAGTAGGCAAACAATCTCCGATAACTTGTGTATATCAACCTTTTATGAAACTCATCTTTTGCAATGTCACATGCTATCAGCACGTACAAATATTTGTGTTAGTAGGACGTTTGATTTACAACCCTTACCTTATAAATACGACTCTCTATATGTTTTTCACCACGGATAATTCTTACGCAGAATAAAACTGAATGGAAGTAAAACCGCTGCGATAATGAAATTAAAAAATCTTTGTCATAGATTTAATATATGGTGTTACACGATGTTGGTGAGCTCAATACTTCAATTTACAGGGATTTGGACTAGCGCATGGATAAAGCTTGATGTTTGTAACTATACTGGATTGTATAACAGCCCATGTGAGTGTGACTTCGCCGTGGGCGCTACAGAAGGTATAATTTTCAATAGGACCAACAGCGACGTTGCCAGTAACAGAACAATCGCCATCTCGTGTTTGAATGAAATTGTCAGCAAAACAGATCGGTGTGATGCCTGCAGAAAGCTCGGAAACAGTAAGTAATATTCAGAAGGATAATGTGTAGGTCATATTTGTCCTTTTATGTTTTATTTTCTCTCCGGGTATTTATCTACTTTTAACAGTCGACGTCTGCAACATTATCCGGATGAATTAATCCATTTTATTATATGGATACTTAAATTGAAAATATGACACATTATCTTCATATAACTCTTCCCTGCAGTTTCGGGGAAAATAGGCCTGCTGTGTGTAACCCACTACATTTCTTACAAGACGATTAATGCATAATCAGGGGCTCTGTGTCTTTTAATGAGGGGATAAACAAGAAACCACATTTGATCTGCTGCCCGCATTGCAACATTTTCGATTTATATGTTTTCTCTCTACTTCCTAAACACATTGTGTTCCTATTAACTAGCTGGCAGTACCTCACATTTGACCCTAGTGTCGAACGTTCGCCCAAGTGTGGTGGGCAATGGTTTCTGTCCCCAGGTC